CCTGGTCGCAAGTTAATTTATCACTTATGGACAGGAGTAATGTTTTAAAAGTCTTCGTTTTTAGTCGACCTGTCTACCTCTTCTCCCTAACGTTAGTACCAGACCAAACCATTGATGAGCTGCAAAACATGATCAACAACTTCTTTTGGTCTGGCATGAGACCGTCAATTAGTTTGAAAACGATCATTGGAAAGAAAACGGATGGTGGTTTCGCACTCTTACATCTCAAAACAATGATTGAATCATCCCGTATTAAATGCGGTCTTCGACTAATGACTAAGAGTAACGTCAAATGGAAATTTTTCGGTTTGCAACTCATGGCTTCGAAACTGTACCGCTTTTGCCCGTCCTTGTGGTCGAACTTGATACCTCATATTGATGAGGGTTCGACTCTTTACCATGAGGTAGCAAGATACACGTCTAAGTGGTTAGCAAGTGGTGGTTCATCCAATATACTTATCCGTTCCAAGGATCCTTCGATTTATTGGCAACTGATCTACAAATATCATTTTCAAACGCCTATTTGCTACCGTCGTATTCCTTATCTCAAAACAATACATTTCTTCAAATTACTCCATCAAAGTAAATTGCCAACACGAGTGTTCGACATCTGGATACAGTTAGCCAACTACGGTCTAAACACAAGAACGCGCACTGGAAAAACAGACCAAAGTAAGGTGTGTGTTTTTTGTGATCAAAACGAGACGTTGTACCACTTATGAGCACAATGTGTTTTCTTCGAGCCCGTTTTTCAGTCACTAACGAACCGTATATAGACGTTCTTTTCCGCTCGATAACGAATTACATTTTTGATACTCATTTTAACCCTTGTACTACCACCTAGGGTCTATTTAGACCCTGTTCTCAATAACAAAGAAAATAAGGTGAAATAATCTTTTTACATGGATCAAAGAATGAAATACATTCTATGAATGCATTCTATATTCTATCGTAAAACGATTTTACCGCCGTTTACGGGTCGTGTTGAATCATCTTGGAAAGCGTATGAGCAAACAATTCGAAACGCCAGTCAGCATTCTTAAAATGAAGGCTATGGAAAAGAATAACTGGAAGAATTTTGGCACATGTCTTTTTGGGTTATTTCGATTTTCTACACTCTGTTACAACGACTCTGTTGTAAGAATTTAGCAGCATTTAGCAATCGATTTATTTTCGCAAAGTCGTAAAAATGAACAAGCAAATAAACACAAACTAACAGAAGAAAACACAAGACAATCACTCAGCTGCTTTATGCAGCGGTCGCCATCTCCATTTTCTTTTCTTCTTTTCTTTGCACTGCCTACAGTTCAAAATCAGCAACTATATTAACTACCTACTACCCAAATGTAAGATCACTTCGAATCGATGACTTTGAATTAATTGATAATGATGATAGTAATTCCAGTGCTATAATAACAAGAGCGATAATGTTGAATTATCTTAAATATGTGAATTTATCTTATCCAAGTAATCTAACATGGAAGTGCTTTCCTAAGATCTGGATTATTCCGAATATAAGTAGTTTATATCTTCAACCATCAGATTTATTGGATTTTCCAGCTGTGCTTTATACTTCGGCAGCATTTTGCAATAAGATTAAATGTTTAGAATTAAAATTAGAATTTATAAAAATAAGTTTAAGTCAAATTGTCATTTGCTTCGATAAATTACAACATCTAAATCTACGGTTATGTTTCTTTAAATATGATTATGATAATGATGATGATACAAGATTAGAATATGATGATAATGATTTAAATTTATTCTGTTTTATACTTATGGAAAGTAAAACATTATTATCAGCTGATATTACAAATTATAATATTAAAATGATACTCACACTCTACGATAAACTGATAAATTTTAGCAATTGTAGTAAACCATCCTCAGCAGTAATTGAAATTGTGCATGTTGTGCGTCTAATTGTTCGAAAATAGAATTATAAATCCTCATTGAAAATAAATTTCGATTCTGACTGGATGATGCTGCGCTTTCGCACGTATTTGGGATTACAGAGCTAGTTTCGATTCTCTTTATACGCATAATAAAACACTTCGTGTGAATATAACAAATAATCGTTGTATTAATCATTAGAGAGAGAAAAGAGAAGAGACAAGAAGGACATTAGTCATCAGTCTACTACACAATTTTTGCTTGCACAAGAGGTATATAATGGATGAGAAGTCAGCTAGAACTTTAGTAT